TCTGTGTTTTCAGGGCTGGCCTTGCTTTAGCCCCACACATGTGATCAATCTCCAGCTTCAACTGCTCCATACAAAATGTAGACAAGGATTTTATGAACAAAACCCCAATTCTACAAGAAATAACATATGGTATCAACAAACTAACTATACCAAATCAAAAAGTTTCTGCAAAGCAAAGGAATACCAGCAGAGTGAAGAATGGGAGCTTACAGAGCTTACAGAATGGGAGAGAAATTTTGCCAGCTATGGCTTGTAAAAAAGACTAACATAAAGAATACATTAAACACAAAAGGAAAAAATAGACTCCTCAAAATAAAAAGTCTAATAAAAAATGGGCAAGTGAAGCAAATAGAAACTTAGAAGAAGCAGAAGTATAAATAGCTAATAAATACATAAAGAATGTGCAACATTCCTAACCATCAAATAAATGGAAATGAAAGCAAAAGAACAGCTACCATAAAGAAGTCAAATAATAACAAATACAGACAGATGAGAATTCCAGAGAGAAAAAGCTTTTATGCATTGTTTGTGGCAATATAAACTAGTACCACAACTGTGGAAATCAGATTCCTTAAAAAACTAAACAGAAATTCCATTTGACTCAACTGTTCTTCTAACATGTATGTTCCCCAAAGGGTTAAAGACATCATATCACAGTGATCTGTGCCGTGCATATTTATAGCAGCGCAACTCCTAATAGCTAAATCTTGGAAGTGACCTGTGCCCATCAATAGAGGAATGGATGAAGTAAATGTTGTGTTCATGTTCACTGACACATTATTCATAAATATCCAAGACACAGAAACAATGTAAATCCCCAACAACACATGAAAGCTTAAAGATGCATGATACACACAGATATGTAGCACAGTTTACAGTATAGTATATATAATATTATTTTGCTTTGATAAAGAAGAAAACATTACCATTTGTGACAACATGGAAGAAACTGAAGGTCATTATGCAAAGTGAAATGGACCAGACACTAAAAAATGAATACTTTATGATCACTTGTGTGAAGTCTAAAATAGTCAAAACTCATAGAAGCAGAGTTCATCATGCTGGTTTCCAGAGGCTGGGGAAAGGCACCCATGGGAAGTGATCATCAAAGAGTACAAAGTTTCAGTTATTTAAAAATGAGCAGGTTCTGGAGATTTAACATACAATGTGAAGATGTAGTTAATAAGACTGTGATACACACTTGAGGTTTTCTACAAAGGTGGATCTTGAGTGCTCTCACTGCAAAGCACACACTGTGTATGCAACACATGCATACACAGTCCCTGGTAACTGTGTGATGAGATAGGTATGTTACCTAGTGGAATGGGGTTTAATGAGGGCATATATCAGAGTATCAAGCTGTACACTTTAAATAAATGTAAACCCTATTTGTTGATGATAGCTCATTAAAACAGGAAAAAGTTATAACAAGGAGAGAAAGAAATAATCAGTAAATGCATCGATGGATTAAAAGACAGACAGATAGGGGCAGGGGATTTAACTCAGCGGCATAAGTACCTGCCTTGCAAGCAGGTGGTCATGAGTTCGATCTCTGGTACCAATAAAAAATGAAAAACAAACAAAAAAAAAGACAGACAGATGAATGAACAGATAGATGGACAGATGAATGAATGGGTAGACAAGTGTATTGTAATCCCAAATATTGAGTAGAGCCATCTATGTATTGTAATCACTTTTCCAGTCTTCCTCACAGTCCAAACAGTTATATTGATAATCCCACTGAGTCACTATTGGAATCCCAGCAAGTTAATTCCAATCTACTACCTCCAAAGCATCCAACAGCGAGAGTAAAGACACCAAGACAGATTCCAATTTAAGGTCAGCCAAGGGATCCTAAATCTAACTCCCCATGAGATGTGCAGACAAAGGTCCTGATCCCAGGCCTCTCCCCGAATTTATTATCTTGTGAAGAAGGAGAGTGGCTTGAGGATGAGTGACAGTGAGAATGCAAAGAACTATGTAAGTAACTTGAGTTGGCTAGACGGATGGGGAGAAAAGCATCTCTGCAAAATGCAGAGATAAAAATATGCAGAAGGATCAACTTGCATAATTCAATTAAGGTTAACAACTGAATTGTTTTAGGATGCTGTTGTTTCCGGTTTCTGATGTGTAAATTTTTGTGACGTGGGCACTTATAACCTCCTTATCTGGAGCCTCATACCCAGTTGACATTCCTGGAGCTCTACCATCTCGCTGTGCTCATACCTTTCACAGAGAGCTCAATGTGAGAAAACAGGAGATGCCTGATGGCTTTAGAGATTACATACCAGTATCTCAGCTGGCCTTATTTGCAATGCTTAGAACAAGTAGAAGAGAAAAGGAAATACCATAGTCAGCTCTGTACATATCCGTATAAGGAAACAAGTCTCCATATAATCAAAGTTGCAGTAATTGTCCTGCATTCAAGGGGAGTCTCTCAAGTTGTCTCCCACACAGTGGATGGATGAATAACTTAATCCCTTCTAGGCTTTTCTTGTAGGTCATATATTTTACAAAATAATGAGAGATCCATATTTATACACATTTTTATTACAAAAACTCCTAGTTTGAACTCTTCTGTTCAGACAATTACAGATTTAGATGGAGTCTTAAACAATACAGAGCAATGTTACATACTCTAAAAGTTCTAGTTTTCCTCAAAGGTTACACTTGATGTGTGACTATCCTAGCATCTCACAGCCATGAAATTGACATGGAAGGGCTGGGCCTGGTGACCCACATTTCCCAGCACTCTGGGAGGCTGAGGTAGGAAGATTTCAACTTTCAGTCCAGGCTGAGCAACTTAGTGACTTAGAGTCCGTCTCAAAATAAAATTTAAAACAGAAATAAGAAGGGCTAAGAGTATAGTTCACTGCACAAGCCCTGGCTCCATCTTCGGTACTAAAAATAAAAAGACTGCAAAGTCCACCATCTTTTACGCTTTTATAGAAATAATCATTTCCCCTCCCTGGCTCTCTTCTGTCACACCACATGTGCATGTACACGAGAATACACTTTGCTCTGTGTAGTTCTGCACTCACACAGATTCACATGGCCACTGCTACCACAGTTCCAGAATGCATGCACCACCAGACAGCTCATGTCTTTGCACATTTGTAGATATTTTGGTCATCCTAGTCCTTTGATTCTTTCTCTTTTCATATCTCACTAAGCCCACTGAGCCATCTTAAGAACCATGGATATAATATACTGGATATTTTCATGTACATTTTCCTCTACAAAACTGAGTTCAAACCTACATTAGGAAAAAATGGGGATGAAATTTGGTTCTATGGATTCATGCCACATCTCCTTTTGCTGGTCCACCTACACTCTTCAATTTTTTTCCAAGGGAAATAGTGATGCTTTTTAATAGTGTTATCAGTAAGAAATAATTACAAACTTTAGTACATTAATGACCCCTATGCAGCACTGACTACTCAGTTAACTCCCTGCCCTCACATTGTTTGTGCAAAATTAACCCTCATTTTTACATACTTCTAGTTCTCACTTTCTGCAAGATACCAGTCCCAGCTCTCTTAACTCAGATGTGATTTTCTGAACTAACTGGAAATGAATAACCTCGAAGCAATGTGAAACAAACAAAACAAATTGACTTCATGAAATATTTGGCTTACGGTTGGCCTTTATTCAAAACACTCGAAAAACACACAAGAAGCTTTTTTCTAGAAATATATATTATGGGAAAAAATGCTGAAAAATCCTCCTCCAAGTGATGCTCATATAGGAGTTCAGAAAATGTTTTCTGAGATCATATCGAGCACTGACTTATAACTGCTACTTTGGAATATTAATATGTGTGTAAAGCAACTTTAAAGTTGTATTATATAGATATTTATAGTCAAAATATTTTACAAAATCCCGGTGGAATTCCCATTGTATAATAAAGCATTCCTTGCTATATTTAGGGGGAAAATGCATTCAGGCAACATACATTTATTAAGTGCTTTTCATGGGCCAGTAACTTACATGCTTTAGGGATAAAGACCTAAATGTGAGTTACTAGCATGGAGTTCACAGCTCAGTGAATAAGCAAAAAAGTACACATAACTATAATAAAGTTTTAAAGATAATGTGCAGATTTACAGAGGAGAATGGGAGCCCGAGGGAAGAGATACTTCCCTTCGACTGTCTCAAGGCCAATTAGAAAATAGCAATTATCTCTACAAATGGAAAAAGCAAATGTTTCAATTGTATGGGTTTTGAAAAATTCCCTACAGCAGAAATAGCTGAATGTTCTGAAAAGAGGGGGAGATTATGAGTTAAAATCTACAAAGCAAGTCTACCATCACCACTTCCAAGTACTTGGGCAGCATTCTTAGCAGATAAACTAAGACATTTGGAATGTTTTACTATTCACCAAACGTGTTAGGCACCTTCTCAATCATCACAGCAACTCTGTGAGTTGCACGTCTCTATCTGCTCAAAGACAATTTCATTGTAGGCTTGAGCCTTTCAGGCAGGTTGTGAAGGTAGCGTTGTTCCCTGGCATATATAGTCTATTTGATTTCTTATTCTTTCTCCTTCCACAGGGCATCTTCACAACCACAGAGTGAACAACTTAAATTTCCAAACATTTGTCCCTGTTTTCTGAAGGAAAGAAATGAAGTGGCAAGTTTTATTGGGTTTGCTGTTAATATGTGGTTATAGATAAATAATCTCTTAAAGTGTGCTTGCTATGTACCTGTACCAATTTCTCATAGTGAATGTAATCATTATGTACTTCAAACATCTACTAATAAAAGTCAGCAGTATAACAACTAAATATATCATGGTAGTATTTGTACTAACATCAAATGTTATCTGTCATATACTCTTTGTCAAATTTTATTACCACCAAAATTGCTAGTACACAGGTGTACATCATATAATCCTGATAATGTGCCTTCATTTTCAGAATGACAGACAGAGGCTGCATCAAAGAGAGATGGGAGAAATGAAAGGCTCCTAATTAGTAGATATTTGAGAAAAGCACTTACTTTCTTTGAGCCTTAGTATCCTCCTCTGTAGGACGGTGGTATAGTATCTATTTTGCAGGATTGGCATAGACTCAACATGATGTTGCAAATGAATGTGAGTACACTGTGTATCTATAGGAGGGGCTTACAAAATTATGGCTTCTATTAAGTTGTAGTTCCTACAATTAGCTTCTTCAGGGAAAACAATTAGCCAGTCTTTCTTTTTAGAAGCACTTGGAAGCAGAATCCCTCATTACTCACGCCAAAGAGAGCCAACATCCTGCTCAAGAGAATCAGAACTAGGACGGGAAACATGTGCAGTCCCACAAACGATGCCCATTTTATGCTGTGACACTGCACAGAGAAACAGAGCCACGCAGTCCTGCTAACCGAGACCATTTGCAGCCACTGCAGCCCCAAGCGGAGTGCATTTCTCAGGCAGGATGCGAACAGACGGTGGTATTTCGCAACTGTGATTCCACAGCCAGGAAACTTGGCATCTTCAAGCATGGTTTTCATCCTGAAGCAAAGTTACTTTCAAATAAATGAAATACCAGCTGCATGAATCAGAAATAAGAGATGAAAGAGCAGTACGAAAGGAGAGAGCGTGCACCTTGAAGAATCATATATAACCACCTTTGCAGAACACATTTTGTAACATAAATGCAACATCTCTGGGGTTAGAGAGTGAAAATATAGGTGGCAGAGGTAAACACTGAAATCACAGGCAAAAAAAGGAAAGAGTCCGTACTTAACACAATCTGATATTTTCCAAAGAGAGACTGAACGCTGAACCTCTTCTGATGTGTAATTGGTGTGTAACTTCAATTAACATTAAAAAGTGGAATTCAAAAAATATTACAAATAACATTCAGAAAGGTGAGGAAGAGAAAAATGAGTATATACTTATACTACCAAAAAGTGACAAAAATTAAGCTCACCACTTGACAAATGGTTATCCATTTAATCTTCTTCAGGCAGGTGTTTTATCATCAATAAGTATGATTTTCTCAATGGAAACAGCATAGAAAGATGTATTGCTTTAATCAAAGTTGTAAAACTTCACTGTAGATTTACTATGTTTTTATTTCTGTGGTTATCAAACTTTAATGTGTATCAGAATCTCCAGGAAAGATTATTAAAGTACAGTTCTGGACCCATCTCAAGTTTTCTGATTCAGGTCTTCCAATATACATGTTACACTCATTTACAGCCAATATTGCTTTTGCCAGTGTAAGGAACACATTTTCATAATCAGTATCTCACCACATAAGACTGTAGAAGACTGAAGTTCACTATTTGTTTTGATTGTGTTTTTCTTTCCCAGATTCGCCTGTTCAAAAGAGGATGGCCTAAAATCTTTACTGCAATGAGTACTCTCAATAAAAAAACTACCAAAGGTGCTAGAAAATCTACGCATTCCTTGTAAAATGCATTAAATAGTTCACAATAAAATGTACAACTCTTTTTTTGGTGAGCAGACTTCGGGAAGTTGAGCAAAGAGGTATTTGATGGTCTAATGGAAAAGAGGTAAGGAACAGAGGAGTGGAGACTGGAGAAAAGATGTTTGAGTGTTTAGCAATATGCATGCATGAAGACCTAGAGCAAGTCAAAAGTGCAGCTGATACACCAGACCAGGAAGCCCAGTAGTGTTCCAAGAGTTCAGACTTCCAGCTAGAATTCCAGAATCAGAATCAAAAGAATTACAGAAATGGGCTAGACTGCATATTGGGTCAAGTGGAGCTACCCTGGCTGTGTGGGGTGTTTTGATGTTTCTATAACATCTAGTCCTCCCCTATTTCCTGCTACGAGGATCCTATATGTACCCAGATAGGACCATCTTCAGTCCCACACTCACCATTAATCATGATTTGTCTAAATAATATTTATACTAGGCTAAATGTAGTTCTCACCTAGGGGAAAGACTGAATTCACAAGTTCTGGAAATTACTTTCCTTTGTGATAAAAGAGACTGGTCAATGGAAAAGGATGATGCTTTTGCTCTGCATTCTGCCTTGTGAAACCTTCACACTGAGGTTTATAGCAGCCATCTGGGTAAATAAGGAGGTAAATATAGCAGCCAAAGGGTAAATAAGGAGGATTCCATAAGATATTTTGAAACAATAGTTGGATTAATAATGAAGGTGGCACCACTCCATGGGGTGCTCATTGACATGCAGAAGATTCTTTCTGGGTGAAGGACACAGTTGGACACTGGAATTTCCCACTTCTTGACTTTGCTTTCAGTGGTACCATTAAGACTATATTTGCTTATTTGCTTGTTTTTAGTGTTTATTGGGAATAATTGAAGTAACAGGGAGATAATCTGTGACCTTAGCAAAACTAAAGCCAGTTTTCTTAATGACAGGGGTGTTTAGGCTACAAAATGAGACATTTTCATAGACCATTAGAGAACCCATGATTCTTAACTATATCTTACTTTGTCCAATGAAACTGTCAACTTAAATAATAACCAGAGGAACATTCTCTATGGAATTATGATACATTAATCTAGAGTCTTTAAATGAGAAGTGTTAAACTATAGAGATATTCAAGAAAGTTGGGTCAAATAATGGGTTTTAAAGGGTAAATAAGGAGGATTCCATAAGATATTTTGAAACAATAGTAGGATTATAATGAAGGTGGCACCACTCCATGGGGGAAGACAGAGTCTGGGTAGATGTTGCTGCAGAAGTATTTTTTTAATGTGAAATTATAGTGGCCTTGTGACTCTGGTAAAAATTTTGTGATAATTGCTATTAGTCAATGATGCATGAAAACTCTTCCTTACAGCCTCTTGATTTTATTTGTTTATTTTTGTAGAGCTGATGAAAGTGACTCTATTTTGATTCTGAAAACTTTAACCAAGTCCCTTTACAATAAAGGATTGCATTCAGATTCCCAAAGGGTCATTCACATTAAGTGCTTAGTCTCTGTACTTCTATTATTAGTTGCCTCCCACTTTTCAGGTTAGCCATCCCAAATATCTTATTCTTGTAGGAGTTCATAAATGTGCTAAGCAATCTGGTATCTTGGTTTAATTTTGTAGCCTGCCCTACTTGTTACATTCTCTTTCTTTCCCCCTTCATATCCTTATCTGAGTTATTCAACTTATCACTCCTGGACCAGACAACACTTCCTCCAAGAAACCTTTCTCAAGGTTCCTCCTAGTGGCTGTAATGACCCTACTCTCACTTTTCACTGTGCTTCTCCACTATGCTCACTGATTCAGTGGTCACAGTACATAAAGATAACTGAGTAATGTGCACATGCTCTTTATTAGACCACATGCCACAAGATCTTTAAGGAAGGGGACTGTACTTCTTCAATTTGTATTTCTAAACCATAGCCAAATAATTAATTCTTAATATTATAACGAATAAAGATATTTTGCCTGCAAACAAAGGAGATTGAAAGTTTAAATGACTCTCTGTCATAAAAGCACATTCAGTTTCCAGCAGCTTGAAATAACAGGCACCTTTCAAGCCGTAGGAAGCAATGAAAACCTACAATATACACATAATGATGATAGTTGAGTATACTTCTCTAGCTGCCACTACCGGCTGAAAGAGCTATAGGGGAGAAGAAAACCATGAGGTTGATCTAAATTATTTCCACTGGGAGTCCAAACCCTGCTCCACTCCAAAATGATTGTTAGCAAAAATAATACCATCTATTCCTATTGTGCACTGAAGTTCTCATAGTGCTTTGTGTTTTGTGTGATAGAATCTCTATAAGAACCCTGAAGTTAATCTCTTTTGTCTTGTATAAAAACTCAACATGTTCTTATTCAAAATTTGTTGATGACTTCTAAGAAATCTCCTTATACATGACATATTTATAAATAACTATAGTATTTCTCAGTAAAACTGAGAAAATAGAAAGTTTTTTATTGTCACTTAAAATAACCAGAAATCTACTTCATGTGCATGCATTTTATGAAAATTTCTATTTTATTAACAAATACTTAATGACAAGACTTCCATTATTTAGCATTCCATTATCAGACATACAGTCTTTTTGAAGTTTTGCATATCATGTAGCCTCTGGGAAACTTCACTGTACATGAAAGAAAAACTGAATGAAATGACAAAAACTGTGTTAGTGTGAATGTAGATTTTACTTTGCTTGTAGATCCTGTAAAGAAATGGCCCAAAACATTGTTGGCACCAGGAACCAGTTTCAAGGCAGACAATTTTTCTAAGCACAGGGAAAGATGGTTTCAAGATTATTCAAGTACATTACATTTATCACTTGCTTTATTTCTATTACTATGACATTAGATTCTAAAAAAGGAGCATGCAACTCAGATCCTTTCCACCCACAGTTCCAAGTAGGGCTCATAGCCCTCTGAGAATCTAATGCCACTGTTGAGCTACCAGGAAGCAAGCCATAGGTGAGGATTTAGCAATGGAAAGCAGATGGGAAGACAAGTGAAACTTAAGATTACTGGTCCAGCCATGTTGGAACTTAGGGTACTGGGAAGCCAAGCAACCAGCTAGCCCACCTAGTAAAAGGCTGTGTTGTGGCAGCCTGCAGCCACCCCAGGGGGTGAACCACCAGCGTCTCCTGAGATCCATGGCATGTTGGAACTTAGGGTGCTAAGAAAGCAAGCAATCAGCTCACCTCCCTGATATGTGGCCTTGAACTGGTGAGCGGGCAGATAATAAAACACCCCCCCCCCACCTCCATTAACAAATGGAAGCCAGAGATCTGAGCATCTCTTGGCAGGTTGACCATATGCAATGTAGCAAATAAGGGGGATTTCCTTCTACCACTTCTTTGAAGGAAAACATTTTTATCACTGTTCTGATTTATTCTGGTTAATGGTATTGCTCTATTCAATATTGTGTTTTGATAAGTTCTGTAATGTTCTGTATTTCAGTTGTTTTTTATATACCCAATTGAAAGAACAACTATTGTGAAGATAACGAGATATACTGTGATACTTATTACTGTTATCCCAGTAACCTGCTGTGAAGTTCTGTATCAATTTCACTACACTGTCTAAATTGGCTTTGTTCTATCTTGTTCTCTTGCATTTTACTGCCTTCAAAATAATTTAAAAAAAATTTTTAAAGATTACTGTTCCATCTTGCTCACCTCCTGTTGTAAATTCAAACTCTTAATAAGCTACAGATTGCCCACGGGTTGGAGATCCATGCTCTAAAAGAAACTCAGAGACTCTCCTTCACCAAAAGTCTCAAAAGTGCATATTGGATCAGCCTCTGGTTAGACCGCCAAGAGAGAATAAATGATGTGATGGTCACACATGCCTGATTTAGTGTGTGAACCTAAGATGTTTATCAGAGGTTGAGTTCCCAGCTTTGTACTACTGTGTTTAATGAAATGTGATATATGCAGCTGCTGTCATGGTTAAATGGCTACTAATCAATAGTTAACCAGAAAAATCACTCTGCCTTGCTTTTCCACAAGGCATATCTATGGTAGGAACTTGAGAATCACCTGGGATCCGTGGCTTTTGAGAGTTGGGGGTGGTGCTGAGAATTGGACTTACTGAGCTACTTACTTAGCCATTTTTGTGTTTTAGCTTGACACAAGATCTCACTAATCACTAAGCATATATAGGAGTGGTTGTATCTCTCAGGTACAGTTAGACAAAGCTCAGACCTACCATTTCTGGGGCGGATAAGGGCTTTGGTTGAGCTATTCATCTGTTTCAAGGAAATAGAGACCAAGACTGACCTTTCAGGAAGAAAAGGCTGCTTCAAATCCAAGGAACTCTACACGTACCAATGATGTAAATATTTTCATTGCATTTGTGTCAAATACAACGATAAAGCCCCAAAGTCATAAGAATTTAAAGCTGAGATCTGTTTGAAATTGTCCCCAAGGAATTATGCTACTGTGCTTGTGATAACTGATGATAAAAGAAACCTCACATTGAATGGGAACTGGAGAGATGGCCTAGGAATTGAAAAGTATTGCTTGTTTGGACAGATGGGAACTGCAGAGTTTAGAACATGATACTTGATTTATGCTCATAATTAAACTTGCATAGGATCCTAAACTTAGTTTAAATTTATTTAAGTGGCCTGGCCAATAAAATTAATGTCAATTATTTTAACAAATCCTTCAGTACTAAACATAGTCCAGAAAAGGGAATTTCCTTGGATATTTTAAAATAAGTAAGACAGGGTCCCTCTACTCAAGACTGGAAACTATTATACAGTTGGCTGGACAGGAAAGGCAGAGAGAATAAAGGCTCTCTTTTGGAAAGAGGGAAGCTCCTCTAATCCCTGAAGAATGAATAAAAATTATCTAATGATTAAAAGGGCATTTAAACAACCTATATGTATCCAGGTAAGTAGCAAATTCTTGATATAATGTGTTCTCACACATTACATTAAAATTTGACAACGTAAGTTCAATGTCTTTGTTGCCCATTTTACAGTAGGAAAAAGAGTGGAACTTGTGGAATTTACCAGAATCACCTAATGTTATGTACTATGTAAGTCAGAAGATTAATATTAGAACATAGTCTATCAGGATCTAATAGGCTTTTCAACATAGCACAGTAAGACATCCAGGCACAGACACAGATGTGTAGAAACATGGCATACTCATTACAAGGAAGAGTGCATAATGTCAATGGAAAATCATCAGTGTAGGAGCAATATAAAAACCACTGGAGATGAATGGAGGACTAGATCCCAGGGGCAATGGAAACTCCCATAAGAATGTGTGGGGCACATATTTGCATCTTAGAAAGACCTTTTATGCAAAAACATGACATTGCTAGCAGATTATCAAAAGCAAAAAAGATAGATTTACCTAATTTTTTAAACATGAAACCAAAGTTCAATGTCAACACACATTCAGAAATTTTTATAGCATCACATGAGATTTGTAAACAAGTAAAAAATTATTCTGGTGCTCTGCTCCAGTTTCCAATGCATCAGAAAGGAAAAGCATTCTTCTGATGTAGGGCCCTGATTTATAGATTCCTATTTCAACTTTTCATGATCATAATTGAAACTGAGATATAACAAGCTCAAAGAACCCCTCAGCTACTTGTCAGGGCTTTCTTTTTAGGTAAGCTGTGGAGAAGCTCATTCTAGCTTGAAATACAGCTAAGGTTCTTTGTTACAAAGAAATGCCTGTAAATAAAGTATGCTAGCTTTTCCTAAAGGTCCACATCTTGCTACACTTACAGGTTTAAGAAACTGGTCCATACTTATTGCTCTCTCTTTAAGAAGGGCAAAGCAACAATAGCAAAAAGAAGTGAAATTTCAAGAAAGTAGTGAGATGTTCAGAGCAATAATAAAGCTAAAAATACACTGCTCATGTAAGCAAAATAACATAGAGAGAATATTGTAAATTCAAGGATCAACAAAGGCAATATTTAGAGTTGTTAAATTGGAAGCCGTGGGACAAATAGAAACCAAGAGCCAGGTAAAGGCAGCCAATATTGGGCTAGAAGTGATGAATAGAAGTGTGCAGAAAATCCCATTGTATGTGTAAAAAATAGCCCAAGTCAGTGTGACTTCCATGTTTTCTGTTGTTGCTACTCTTGGGCCAGATTCTGGATTGGAAGAACAAAGCTGCACTCTGTCACCTGTTTTTTTTTGTTTTGTTTTGTTTTTTTAATTTTTTTAAGGAACTCAACCTCTGACTCCAAGTGAGCAAGAGTTTGATTGAGGGATCCTCTGCTTAGAAAGCATATCAGGAAACATAAATATTCACAACCACAGAACCAGACTGTTTTCTCACATTTTAGCCATATATAGACTATTGACATATGGAGAGGATGCTCTCTGTATCACATGGGAGAGGCTGGGGATAATACTTTGCGAGCACACAGTATGCCTGAAAACCAACTGTTGGTTTCAAACACTTTCCTGCATTAATGGAGTCAGCACTTTATGGAGAAATGACCTTTCCTAAGACTGGGGCAGGAAATACAGAAGGTGAGCCTGCAGGACCTTATCTTGCCAGAAGGTAGGAAAGACAAAACCAATATTCAGGGACATTCATTAGAGAGACACAGAAGCCAACTGAAAAGCTACCAATCCTCAAAACCAGAAAAGTTTAGGGAACAAAACAAAAGTGACATTGGCTTCTTAAATCCAAGATATAAAATAAGTACATATGAGATTGTACTAATATAAATAAAACTGATTAAAATGAATGGGGACAAGAGACAAGCTTCTCATAGAGAAGAACTTCTAGGAGTTTCTGTAAATGCTCTGCCTTCAAGTAGCAGAAGCATAACTCTCTGCTCCGTAACTGTGCACTGAGTAAAGTTCCTTCCCTCCAATAAACATGATATTAAAACTTACGCTGTACTGCACAGTGAAGAAACCTAAGAAACACCTCTGCCAGGTATCAGAATCAGGATACAGTGACACTCATGTCAACAGTGTGTGCTTCTGAAATGATGTGATGAACATACATTTTATTTTTCCCCTTAAAAACCATAACTCCAAAAAAACAAATTGCAAATGAATGGTGTTCTAAAAATAGCTAACCAGAATTTTCTAAAGCTACTAAAGTTAGCAGAAATAAGGAATATCTAATAAACTGCTACAGCCAAAAGGAAGTAAAGAAAATATTATTAAAATCAATGTGAAAGCCAGGCATAGTGGTATATGACTGTAATTACAGCACTCTGGGAGGCTGAAGCAGGGGGATTGTAAGTCAGAACCCATTTTGGGAAATTTCACAAGTTAGTGAGATGCAGTCTTGCAATAATAAATGAGTAATAAAAATGATTGGCTCAGATTCGTTAACAGGACATCATGTAAAAGCTAAGGCAATCTGAACAAAAAAATATGGACATCAGTTAAGAGCAGTGGTATTGGTTCACTAACTGCAATAAATATGTCACGTGAATATAATATCAACAATTGATAAAAATCTGTTGAGTTTTATGTAAATTTGAAACTTAAAAATGCCCATTTGTCATTTTTTAAAGAAAAAGACAATAGATTTTCCCTTATGCACAAAATGCAAATGTTTATTTTCTTTTATCTTTTGTACATGTAGACAGAAACTTTAGAGTTCACAGCTGGAAGAGAAGGAGAGTTTGTTGTCAATTTCTTGCCAGCTTAGTTTTGATGACTGAGCAGTTTCCAGAAGTTACAGTTCATCTAAGACACACTGTACTTCTAATGTAAATTTGGATTAAAGAACAAGAATATGAAGTAATAGAGCAAATAATAAGTAAACAGCAAGTAAATAAAATCCAAAAGAATAAAGTAATGCCAATTAACTCAAAACTGACTGAAAGAAAACCTCCTCTGTTTCTCCTCCTAATTAATTCCTCCTCTGTGTCCTGCCATTTGTTTTTACTTCAATAGGACACAGCCTGCTGAATATGGCCATCAATAACTGGAGGGTGGAGCCGTCAATAATGGAGGAGTCACCCAGTATTGTGCGTGGCATGTGAGGTCCTCCGCTCGCTTCTGTACCGAGGAGGTAAGGCTGCTCAGTTACTCCAGCCCCATTTGTCCTGGACAGGCTGTGAGGGAAAGGCAGGGGTTTACTCTGCCTTGTGTTGTAGCTCCAACTCTGAGGAAAAACAAACACAGCATCTTCAGCACAGCTGAAAAAGTCTTAGTTATTATTGAAATGGGTGTTTTCAGACATTTACAAACATGAACTATCTTAGACACTTTCCTGTCACTGGGACAAAATTCCGTCCCTCCATAATTAAAGAGGAGAGGTCTGTTTTTGGCTCACAGAATGAGCCCAAGGTTGGTTGATTCCAAGGCAGACAGAAGAGGGCAGGGGTGTGAGGAAGAGGGAAAGGTGCTCACCTCAGGGCAGCCAGGAAGCACGGAGGAGAGAGAGAGAGAGAGGAAGGGCTAGGAAGGTGACGGCCTGTCCTGTTGTTCCCCAGAGACTGACCACTTCCACCTGGGGCACCTGTATGAATTTTCAATGAATGCATCAGTTGACAAGTTCCGCAGCCCCAAGACCCAGTTCCCTTCCAAATGCCCTGCCTTTGAACCCCAGAAGCTTTGGGATCTAAACCATATCATTAACCAATAATAAAAGTAACCCATTATCCAAGAAATATACAAAGAGAAAGAGTAAATTGAAAGACCAAAGAAAAAACTAATCTAAAAATACAGAAAATATTGAAATGCCAGATATTAATGAGTTAAATATTTAGGGAGATATTAAATTGATGGAAATAATAACTAGCATGCCTCAAAAGGAAGGAAAAGAGAAGGGTGAGAGAAAGTCCTTGTGTATAAGTGTCCGACTGCAAAATTGTTAAATTATCTCTCAATATATACTAGAATGTGCATGGCTGTCATTTAGAAAACCAACTCAAGCCCCTGGAATCTAGCACAAAATAAAAGGTTTCTGTCATTAAAGAAGAGAAAGAGTCTATAAAACGAGTTAAGTCATCAGTACATTAGGGCACTGTAAGAAAAGAATGGAGTAAATGTGTTGAAAGCGGTTATTAAAGGGATGAAAGAAGAGCCATGGCTGAGCCGACAGAAATTATCCCATGTTAAAAGGGAGCCTCATCTATTCAGGTCTCAGGGCATGCGTATGACTTCTGAGAATTAAGAAGGAAACCCTGTAAATATCCAGACAGAGAAATACGTGCTGTGGAGGTAACTTTTAAATAAGCAGGGGTGAAGCAGAAGAAAGGAGGAGGAATTTGATGATAATAGAAACAAAACTTAAGCTATTAAAAGGCAAACTGTGTACATCAGTGATAGCTAATCTGGAGCAGGCTCCTTTAAAGGGCCTTAAAGGCAGGAAACTGCCTGAGAGCCCAAGTACTTACTCAGAAGGGTTGAAAATTGACAGTAAGAATGGGGGGAAGCTACAACCCACATTCAAAGACCCTTATTTATAAAAAAAATATTGTATATAACTGCATGACAGTAAACATAAATACATTAGATAATAAGGTAGGGAAATATAACATTGCACTCAAGCTGAGGGAAAAAAATTGGAAATGCACACTTAAGAGAAATAGGAAGTGCAAGCCAGAAAAAAAAGCACCACAATAAAGAATAAATAAAAAATACAAATTATTTATCTGTCAGGGGATTTATATCCAGAATATGTGAGTAATTGAAACAATTCAACAACAGAAACCCTCAAGATGCAGATACAGGAGCACAGATGTCTCTTTAGCATAAAGATTTCATTTTCTTGGGTGTATGTCCAGCAGTGGAAATGCTGGACCAAAAAGCAGTGCTGTTTTTAGTGGTTTAAGGAATCTTCATAATGTTTTCCATAATGGCTGTACCAATTTACTTTTCCAACAACAAAGTTCAAGAGTCCCTGTCTTAGTTACTTTCCTCATTGCTGGGACAGATGCAACACAGAAAACAGTAGATTCCTTGCCTCACAGTAGGTTCTGGGGATCAGGAGGAGCCTGTGTAATAAAAATCTCTTCTAGTTGCACAATTTTTCCTCATAATCCAATTATTCCTTTGCCATAGTTTTACCTACTGCATATTTTTACTTTAGATATAATCTGAGTGCTGGTTATCATGCTTCAGATAGAGTCAGAATCTGGAATCCCAAATATTCCAAGAGGGTAGATAGGCTTCCATTCTATATATTTAATAAATCATAGAGGTCAACTGTATTATTAGATCATAATTTCCATTCTGTGATCATAGAAAACTCCTCTGAGTCTCTTTTCAATTCCTCCTCCTTGAAATATGATATGGATTCTACTTTCTAAAGTGAAGTTTATGGGTAAAATTTAGATATACATAATGATCATATTCATCATAGGAAATTTGTTCCTGGACAAGATATAGCCTGATTCCTCTTTTTTCCCAATCCCTGCCCCTCCCTTTAGACCTCTCTTCTCCTCATTTACAAAGCTTTGTTTTCATTTTATCTTTCTTTTATCTTTTTTCTCTTCCTTTCTTTCCTCCCCTCCCAGCTCCCTGGTTTCTCTTTCTTTTTGAAGAATTCTTCCTATTTTACAATATCTATTGTACATTTTGGGCTTTATTTACTGTTTCAGTTTCTTAGCTTGCAGATTAGTAAAAAAAAAAAGTTCCTATAAACAATATTTAAATATGCTAAGTGATTGGTACCCAGTAAACTATCCTTGGGGAATAGCTACAGATTGCCACAGAAACTGAGAGAAAAAATATGGAGCTAATTTTCTTATTTCTTCATAAATTAAGCTAGATCTATACTTTAGAAAGCAGAATAGTGAAAAAAGGAGCAAGCATTTTAGGAAATGAATATAGTAAATGCAAAGAATTACAATGGGAACATAGACCTACATTTGAATCAATGAATATACTACTTTGTTAAGTGTCCTTTGTGATGCCTGTTATGGATGTGTCTAGATGTCCCCCATAGTCTCATGTGGTCACAGGGTTTTGGTGGAGGTGGCTAGTGTTATGCTGGGATTAAGGGTGAATCATTGCTGGACCAGTCCACTGATTTGATTGGCATTTCCCTACTCCTGGCATTCTGCATACAATATAAGGGACAAAAAGAAGTTTGTCTCTCTTTCTTGTTACTTTTTCTATCTTCTACCACCATGACCTGTTGTCCTTCTGTCATGTACCACCCTGCCTTGGAGCCAGCCTATTATGAACTGAAGCCTCTGCGTATTTGAGCTAAATAAACCTTTTTCCCTTTAGCTTGAGGTGTCAGATATTTTGTCTCAGCAATGAGAAAACTAACTAAACAATGCCCAAAGCATAGCAGTTAACTTGAGAGCACTAAAGAAAAATATAATCGATGCCAGCAGACAGAGGTGGTCTAGCCAAAGTGATAAGAGAATTGAAGCACACACCAATGTAAATATTCTGGTTGCAAGGAATGTGGATTATCTCACCTGTGTTTCGTGGATGTACCTGCATCAATGTCAAACTAAGTGGTTTATTCCACTGCCAAAGACCTTGACCAAATCCCAGCTTCGGTGTTACCATCATGTGATGGATGAAGTATTGAAAGGAATGTCATGCTTTTCTATGGTTTTTGGAAATCAATTCCACACACAATTAGGAGAAATAAACTGAGAAAATGATTTGTGATTATCTCAGTTATATTGGGTGTGTGAAGAGAAAACCAGCGTGTTTATAAGAAGAGGTCAGATGTAAGGTGAGGGACAGTTATCCCAGTTTATTCTTTTGGTGACTCATCAGTTAACACTCGAAGTTAACACTCTGTGGTGATACAAGCCTACCCAGCAAGCACTGGGCATTCATGTGGCTCTGGACTGATACTAAATAAGAACATCACAAGATAAAAATAAATATCAGAGCTATTCAGTCCCCTCATGAGCTAATGAATGACCCATCTTCCCCCAAACACTGAAGGATGCAGACATCCTTGTGTAAGTCCAAAGGGCATTTTGTGAAGCTTAAGCAAAAAAAAAAAAAACCTTGACAGTTTGCAACTTAGTGTACAATTTTGGAAATAGCAAAGCTGTTCCTAAAAGATCAATAAAAACCAGTTGTACCAGAAATAGCATTTCTAAGATATCTAGATTTGCTCCACAGATCCTTAACATACATCCTGCCCCTTGACAAACTCCAGCCTCTCATCTGGGCTGTGCAATTCCTCTCCTGGAAATACGCTTGCTGTCCCTCTTATTATGTACTCTGGACTAAACAAACTTGTCTTTTCTGTATTACTAAACTCTTATACCACCTGCACTACTGACTTTGCATGCACCTTACTTGGCCCTCAAAACCATATGCACTTGAGCCTTCAGCAAGGACCAGATGAAAGAATGAAGCCATGCATAGTGGCACACAATGTAATCAGCACTTGGGAGGTTGACGTAGGAGGATCAGCACAAGCAGCCTGGACTACACAGTTACAGAGTGAGTTCAAGGCCAGCCTGGACTATGTAGTGAGACTTTGTCTCAAACAAACAAATATAAGAATGAAAAATTTTATTCTCAGATGCTAGATCCAGTATACTATTCACAGAAAAACTCGTTCCTGCACACACTGTGCACATGTATCTTTGTCCCATGTTATTCAGGAAGCCTGATTCTTTTGTAAAAACAAAGCCACCTCTTAGCAAATGGGTGGATATCCCCTAAATTTAAGAAACCCATATCAACACAAAATGAAATCTCAGGGTTGGTATGTATGGCCCATAGCACATTCACACTCTATTTTCCTTTCTGATTTGCCCAATATTATGTTCTTGTGACTCCTGAGACTTGAATGACTCAGTGATATTTTTAAAGTTACAAAAATCTAAAACCAGCAAAGGCTACATTTAAATTCATGTTTCCTGACAGCCAGGCTGTATCTCTGCCATCTCTAGAGTTTCACAGCAACATCTGATTACAGTGGTATCAGCTCTTCACCATCTCCTTTGGGCATAGAATGCATGATCACTGTTGACAGAGGACCAGAGCAGTGCTGGAGGTGAGAGGTGGTGGGTGTCCAGCAGTGTCACCTGGATTCTGGAGAGCAGTGCATCTTCTTCCTTAGAGAAGCCCAGAAACGGGGAGCTGGCTGGAGCTGCTCTGGTTGTAGGATGTGCACGAAAATTCATCCCACAGCTGCTTATGTGCCTAAAGGCGAGTAGATCTGCTAGAGGAAACCAGGATTTAGTCATGTGGAAAGAACAGCAGCCATGCAGACTTCTGGGAGGGTTGAATTTGATCCCAGCAGACAGAAGATGGAGCTGTACCATTAGACTCAGAAGCTAAGGGAGAGAGAGCAGCAATCATCAGCCATCCACATATCCCATCATGGATGTTTAGGAACAACTTCCTGCAAGGAGATGGCAAAGAAATCTGCAAAAGTGCTATTCAAGCCATTTGTGCATCTGTAATGGCCAGAAAGCATTAATCCTAAGAAAAATTGCTCCTGTCGAGAAAGACAGAGGACCTGCACCACTCCTGCCTCTTCTCTTTCAAGTAGGATCAGATGGAGATGAATGCAGAAAAGTCGAGCAGTAAGGGATAGGAAATGTGCACATGCTGACCTCAGCAGCCTGGCAGCTCAAGGAACACAAGTCCAGGCTGACTTCGAGTCAGAGAGAGCCAATAAGAACCAATGCATTGACATGACACTCATCTGGTCCATTTAGCATCCCCAAGATCAGAGCAGGAAAAGGTAAGGGATGCATAACACTATGACACTGAAAACCAGTAGCAGGAAGAGAACAAACCTCTACCATTCCACCAAGCCGAGGATCTCATAAACAGATAAAACATGCTTTTCATCACTTAAATATTAAAAATTTAAATTGGAGCAGCATGAGATGGCTCAATTTTCATACAATATTTATTACAGAACCTGGAAAGGAAGGTACACAGTAAATCAGAGCTGTTGTTACTGCTTTCTCCCTGCATGTGTCATTATCCTGCTACATAGAAATCTCAACCAGTGACGTCACCATTCAGTGCCAGACTCACAAGTCCATGCAAATCAGCTTGCTGGCCTCAGGCGATTCCTGGAGCTCGGATAGAACCTAATCTGAGAGGAACCTAACCTAACATGAGCTGAGAGAACCTAACCTGCCCATCTTGTAGAATAAGTTTGTAAATTTGCTGACTCTTGCTATAGGGAAAGGATTTTCAGGACTAGTCAATGAGAGGCCTGGGAAGGGTTTACTATGCAAAATCAAAGAGTACTCACTCAAAGAAACAGAATATGGGCCCAAAACAGAAAGAGGTGCTGAATTCTTGGAACTATCGAGGGGGTGGAAGCCCCAGGAAAATGTGCCCCATCCCCTGAAGGATGCAGCTCCATATTGCAGGTGTGGACAGAATATTTTAGATGGATAATCGGAGTATTCTTTAAATTCTCTTAACCTGTTCCTTTATCTGAGGATCAGTTTCCTGCTCATTACTTTATAAGTGGAGCCAGCATTCTGAGGAATTCTGGTTGTGATTCAGGGTCTAGAAATAAAGGAGTCTAGATTTAACCAACGTAATGCTCTTAGTTGACTTTATCTGGGTTCCAAAAGTTACAGTCTTAAAAGTACAATTTTTAGTTATGACTTGCCTGTCACCTTCCTAACAATCTTTTACTTCTTTGATCTCAGTCCTGTTAAAGGTCTACTTGGGGGAAATTGATTGAGGTTCTGGGGTGATATGAGAGGTAGCTCTGTTTTTTGTATCTTCTCACCCATCACTGTACCTTATCTGGAAAGATAATTTACTAAGTTTGCAAGGTAAGTCTCACAACATATAGAGTAGTGTTACCCCTAGTTCTTATGCAAGAGGAAGGAAAATTAAGAAGGATTCGAAATAAGGAAACACTTTCTCAATCCCTACAATTCTTCTGGTAACTGCTACTGAGGGGGTTGCCCAAAAAGCTCAGAGAGAAAGATCTCGTATTGCAGTTTTCTGTGGAGGAGGGGCTGAAATGTTTACTTTCCTGCTGTCTGCAAGAGGCCTAACAGGGTCATTGCTGACTGTTTCATGGCCATGTATGATATCAAAATGCTTTGCCAGTGGAGAGCACCATTTTTTAAGCTTTGGAGATGAATCAGCGTTATGCATTTTTGTTATTAAAAAGACAGTGTTAAGAATGATAAAGTTTCTCAGAGGCAGCCAGTGCGTCAGATAAGATGTGGCCGGCGGTGACCAAGTAATTTCACCACTTTGTGAAGATCTGGAAATGAGAAAAATGTTGTGTCTGGAGGAATTCATCACACTCTCTTCATAGTCATGACAAGTCACTAACAGAGGAGTCCAACAACGTGAAATTGCTAAAGAAATTATGGCAAAGATTCTATAAGTAATGAAGCACAAATTTAATACTAATAATAAGATAATAATTATGGTAGTTATTTCTCCTTCTAATTTTGGCTGTGTGTTACCCATACACTATGACATCAATTATGTAAAAAGACATGAGCCAATTTACAAAAAAAAAAAAAAAAAGCACAATGGAATTTTTAAAAAATTAGACTTTAAAATAGGAATAGAGGTTGACCAGAGAGAGGTGACTTCTTTTTGTTTTTTACTGAATTTTCAAAATTATCTCTTAATAACTGAGTCTATTTTATTTTATTTATCTGTTTATGTATTTTTGAGGCAGGGTCTCACTGTGTAGTTCAGGCTAGCCTCAATCCTCCTCCCTCAGCATGTGACACCACTCCTGGCAACTGAGCCTGTTTTAAAGCATAAGAAAAAGTAGAAGTTTTATAAATAATTTAAATGAAATTTGAGACTTCTAGAATGTGTGAATGTGAACAACTTACTTGCAAGCTCCTGGACTCAGCATCCTGGGCCCCACATTTGAGCCCCACCCTGCCCCTGCGCCGTGGTTTGCATGTTCATCTCTCCTGGTTTACCAGGCTGGAGCTTGGTCGACCTGGGCCCCAGCCATCTGGGTTCCTGGGCTCTGGGTTTGTGCATGTCACTTTGTCCAAGTATAAGAAAAGCCCCTGAAAATGGAAAAACAAGTTCGCAATTTGGCTAAATTGGGAGGGCAGGTAGTCAACCAGTGCAGAAAATGCTCCAGTTTATGGGAGAAGCAGGAGACACCTAGGAAATGCTCCTCTGTAGAGTTAGCCACGCCCTGGCACACAAGACCAACAGTGTTCAGTCCCCCTCATCATCTGGCCTGAGGTGGCGGTTTATGTGCAGCATGAGCAGGCTTGAAGAAGCAATTCGCCTTTCAAAAGAACTTCCAGCATTAAAGATTCATTTTAATTGCTCGATAACAGCTGGATCTCAGACGTATCACACTTGGTGCATGTGTGTTGCCTTTTGAGGGTACATAAGCAAACTTTAAAATATTCTGTATCTCACTTGAAGTCAAATATTGCCATGAAGTAATCACTTTGCTCAAATTTTTGTTTAGAAACTGAAAATAATTCATAACCATTTATTGTTTCATAGCCATGATATATCGAATAAATATATGTTTCATCCTTTGCTACTTATTTGGGGAGAAAAGGCGTATCCTACTTCTCTAGAGCTTACAAGTTACACAAAACTCTTTTCTCCCTAAAATAAAATGCATATCTTGCTAGTATCTATGACTTTTTTACATGGGAAGACTAAAAGGATTACACACACACACACATACACACACACACACACACACACACACACACACACAATAGTAAGCCTTTATTTCCTCGGTCTAAACTGAGGGTTTGCACAATTTAGTGTCCTCCACTATCTCCGTCTCTTCAGTCATGAGTGTGAATTATCTTCTTAATAGTATGGTCAAATGCATTTTCTTCTACATAAAAATATCCATACATTTTTAATTTATATTAAGTTCAACTTCTCCCATTATATAAAAAAATTTTCATTCCAAAGTGCCATTTCTGTTCCATAACAGTACACCAACATTTACTTCATGAATATCTTAACATTTTAGTGAGGAAACAAGACCACACTTTAGAATTAAACAATGGTGGAAGACATCACCAGCCAGTACCCCATGATGCAAAGCCTCTGTGGGTGAGGTATTTTCAGATTCCTGCTGAGTTTTAAAGGATGAATTGGATTTACCTGCATAAAAGCCCAGAGGGTTAGAAATCTAGCAAAAGCATAACGAAATGCATGACAATGGTGGGCAGAGTATTTTGTTATACCATCCCTTCTTTGAAAACTATTAAGTCGAGTGCTGTACGAGCGAGACGCAAATTCCATGTGTAATAAATCTGAGATGTGACTGTAATCACTTCTTAGTGCATCTTTTAGATAGTAGAAAATGGATTAAACAATATTTAGATCAACATTTATTCAATAAAATATGCTGAATGCTTATTCACCAGAATAAACAGGGAAAGCATGGTTTATTTTGAAATAATAAATTCACAAGGCATCCCAGGAAGTGTGACTTATATCATCATAGTAACACATGTCCCAGGAAGACATGAGCTAAGTCAGGTGAAGAATAACTGCTGCAGAAGCTTCTGGAAGGAATGCCCTCAGAGTGTGGGACACCCAGGAAATAATCTGAGCAACAGGTGCAAATGGTTTGTGCGCTTCATCTCAGGTTTGACTATGATTAAAATTCTTAAGCTTTTAGGGAAAAAATGGGAGACAGTCTAAAGGAGCAAATGCAGGGGTATGCTTAGGGAACTGGAAGTTGATTAAGGTTGGAATCAGTGTGAATAAGCGACAGAGTCATGGAATCTGGTGCTGCAGGAGTTGGATTTGTTCAAGGAGAATGGAAACTGCTCACCAGTCTCAGTAGGGGTCTCTGCTGCTGGAAAGTTAGTTCCTGGGCACTGGTAGTAGCCACACAATGGGAGGGGAAGGGAAGACCACGGAGGCACATGCACAACTTCCCTGACCACTGCACACACAGGTCCAGGGAGCAAAGTCCAAGCTGAATGGAGCCACAGTGGCCAACGCCCATGGAAAGAGGCATCTGGTCCATGCAATGGCCAGGAACTGTACAGTGACCGAACGCCCCCGTGAGCCACAGCTTGAAGCTCACAGGCCTTCCAGTGCCGCCTGCCAGAGCCCCACCTCTGGGCTGCTCCTTGTCTGCACCTCCTTCTAGACACTTCCATCTTGCTTTTGCTGTGACACAGGCAACTATTTTTCAAAAGGATTCTCAGAACTAGAAAATGAAGAGTAAAATTGATCATTCTTAAGTAACATTTTGATGATTTGTATACAAAATGCGTATACTTAAGAAAATGTAGAAGCCCTGACAAATTCAAGATCAAAATGCAAAAATAAATACCTAACATCTATACCAATAGTAATATTTCTCACAGAAAAAGGAATCGTTCACAAAAGTAACTGAAGGCATTCAGGAATAAACCCAAAGGCATATAGAAATAAACAACAAAATATGAAGACAAATCATCTTGTGATATGTATAAGGTACTACTGAAGGAGATTTTAGGAATTACATAAAAGAGAATGTATACTGTGCTCATAAATAGAAAATCACACTATCCTGAAGTTGTCCATTCCTCCCACCCCAAAATCCATATGTTCAGGGTTATTTAAATCAAAATTTGAACATGATTTTTTGTGAGACCAACAAATTATTTCTAAAATTACTCGACTGAGTAATTATCTGACATTTCCCAAAGGAATTCTAAAAGACTAAAAGAGGTAAGGTGGCTTGCCCTGTGAGACTTGAGACTTTAAAATCTATGGTAATGAAACAATTAAAGGAAGGGCTCAGATGTAAACAGAAAATATCCAGTGGAGACACCTGAACCAGACAAGAACATAATGTGCATTTGTGCCTGGCATGTACAGTGTACGCATCAGTACGTGACTGCACATTACTTGGAAAGATGGCCAGTTAATTTTTTAATTTGAAATAAAGTCTAGAGCACTACCGTACATGCCAGAAAAAGAATCTTCCTGATGCATTAAATATCCAGTGCATAAAATCTAATTTGTATTTGCTCAGGCAAAAATGCATAACATCTTCAGGAGTACTAAAAATGTGAAAAAATTCCTAGATAAGACAATTTAAAACAAGAAAAAGGAAAAAAATGACATTTTTGATTATACAAAATCAGGATTTTAGGTCTCAGGAATGTAAAGGTATAGATATAGCATTACAAAGAAGTCTCATTGGAACAAGATGCTTCTACCGTATACCAAACAAGGCATTTTGATCTTCAGGAAATGAAAAGAATGCCAACCAGTCAATATTTATAATGTAATAAATTCACTAAGGAAAAAAGAAAAGAATTAATTGAATGGAACAGACAATTCCCAGAGGGGAAAATAACTAGTAAATACAAAAATAGATACAGCCCCACAGGAAGCCAGGAATGTGTGAATCAATGAAACAGTGAGAAGACGCTGCCTATGCATCCGATAATTGACAAAATTTAGGATGTCTGACATTACCAATTTATAAAACTAATTTAGAAAGCAATTAGAAACCTAATGAAACTGAAATGAACAGACTTCCTATACTGAGATTCTGTTCCTTGGTTAAAATTATAGAAAAATTCAAAAACATATGTCAGAAAAACTTGAAATAATATAAATGCAGAAATAATGTAGTGTGTTCATATATAAGATACAGTAAGAAACAAAATAAACCAATCAGACTTTTACTATTATAATGTGGAGTCAGTCCATTGCCTAGTGACACGGCATGATAGCATTAAGGCATTTTTTAAAGGCATCTATAAAACGGAGCAGTAGGAAACACAACAAATTCAAGATCAAAGTTTAGGGAGGTAGCCTTGGAAGTGAAATTGGGGAATAAAGGAAACTGTATTACTGGAATGAATTACAGCATATTCGTATTGATTCTGGATGTTGGGCATATGGGCATCTAGGATGAAACTTTACATTTTTTTAACTTTCAGATTCAAAACAAAATACACACAGCCATCAGTGACCAATAAACTAAAGAACAGAGGATAATGGCAGACATTTTTGGTTATTAAAGGAAGCACCGAAAATAAAGCAGTTTCTGGGAAAAAGTGTATTAAGATACCAAATGAATTTAAAAAAAAAAAAGTAAGTGGGCAATGTTGCAGACTGTTCCCAGGCCACTGAGAAAAAAATCACCAGAAAAATTAAAATTAATTTTTAATTTACATGGGAGAAAGTGACTTGTTAAAGGTGGAGACATTTGAAATGCAAGAGGCAAGAAATCCAGCACAACAGTGAAGTCATTGATAGCTGGAGAAATGCATTGTACAGTGATGACGGAGTGAAAGGAGAGATGTGCATATGTGCATATTTCCACAGATTTGAAGGATGTTAGAGTGGTCCCAATATCAGGAGCTATTTCTCCAGATAGATTTGGAGAAGTGAGCAAAGGGGGAGCGTTCTGTCACCATTTGGAGTCCAGAAGTTGCCTTAATCTGCAGCTATTGCCACTGAAATCCAGTCTTATTTGAGAAATGCATCTACAGGAAACAGGGCTGATGTAACACACACTAAGATGTCTGTGACAAAGAGCCTCACAAGAAGGTCCTTCCCACTGTAGGCTGCATCCTTCCTCTCAGACGAGGTGGGGCTTATATCTGCGTGCAGGTACTTCTCATAGAGAATTCCTCTTTCGAGTCTGTAGGTCTGTAAAAACAAAAACAGGACAACCGAGTTTCTACACCAACACTGGAGTGGTGAAACGGCAAAATCCAAACTTTATCTTCCCTTTCAGAGAAACTTCTCTCAGGAGTAATGTAGCATCCACACATAATCACCTTGGAGTTAGGAGAGGAGGTACATCTGAGTTTTAGAATTTATGATCCTAGATGCATACCCCTGAGAGATGAACAT